TTACTGAGCTGACAAGAGGTTGGTATGAAACATCTATTCGGCAGACCTTTCGACATCTTCGTCTTCTTCAGATTCGATAATCGATGTCTACGGTCCATAGTCGTTCGCAAGTACCGCTCTAATGAAGAATTTCATTCAGCGATCACCTTTTATACAGCACGGAAGTTAGTTGATACCCGTTATCCAATATGTTCAGCTAGTACACCACCAATTGCTACACTGCGCACTGCTCGCAAACAACAGATAATAAGGTGGTGGGAAGCGAACAACATCCGTTCAGTATATAATGCACCCCATACTGAGATTCCTCATTCGGTCGGAGCTCCATTTCATTGGATTCGACTCGATGCGGCAACGAACATCCACATCGCGAGGACGACCATCTGTGGAGCATCGAGTCGGTTCAACATGGCCCTAAGGAAGGTGAAGGCGCCGAAACGTTAGCCGAATAAAAGTTTATACCAACCTCGTGTCAGCTCAGTAGCACAAGAAGGCTTTAACGTTATTTTGCTCGTTTTGTTTTTAGCGCTTGCAATACTCATGAAAGTCCCACTCTCGGGATCTGACTGTGGAAGCTCATTACGCTCCGCGCTACGTTATTAAAAACATCTTAAATATTATACAACGCTAGCTGACGTTTCAGCAGTATCGCCTTCTTCAGAGCTTGGAAGGGTATACTGATATACAATCTACTAGGCCAAACGCTTCAATGACACTTACGAAAAGACGAAAAACTCTCTGGTAATTACATGATCAACAACATCCCGAAAAAACCCACCGCTTTTTCGTGACTTCCAATGAGGAAGTTTAGAACAGCTGATTATAGTCGCATGTGGTTGACGACTGCACCATCCCACATCAGAACTTGATACGAACATTCGGAGTCAGGTCGCGTATGACCTCCGGGCATTCGTCCCCGCTATTCATTGTAAGGTTTTTTGGCTTTTATCCAAAAACCCTCAAGAAGTTTTCGCGCTGGTGTTTTGGACTCCTGTGCAAGGGATATTGACTTTTACTTCAAAATCGTCTCCGCTATGCTTTTGTATCCTATGCGTGCCTAGTGGGGTGCTTCGTCCTAGTTTTCGTTTGCCATCTAGGTGTTCTTTTACACGGATACACAAAGGTCTGCCCGTTTCGCCAATATATTCATCTTCGCAGTTATTACAAGAGATCAGGTATATCGTACCTGAACTCATGCAATCACCGTTCCTGGCATAAGGACAAATTACGCAATTTGTGGTTTCACACAGACGGTCATACAGGCGGTTATGAACTAACCGACGACGTAGAGTAGCCGGTGGTATTTCAACTATCGCTACCGATTCCTCTAGACCTGCCCTTCTTAAGCATCGTTTTATAACTGCGCTTACTTCATCGCTTATAAAAGGCAACATAAACGGGTTTTTGTTTTGGCCAAGTGTTTCGCGTGGGCGCGTCGTTCTTCTTGTAAACTTATCTCGTGAGGTTACAATTTCGTAGCCATTGGAGATGGCTATTTGCCGAGCCAGGTCGCGCGATTCTTCCTTTAGTTCCCTGGTAGTGCACACAGAGGTGGCTGTTCGAAACATGTTTCTCACAATCGCCCTCTTTGTGTGTGAGGGGTGGGAAGAAAGGAAATGAACAAGAATGTTCTTGTTACTTGGCTTTCGATACCGCTTTGTCAGGTAACCGCTACTTGATAGGTTTATTTGAACGTCCAAAAACGTAAGCCAGTTTTTTCTAGGTTTCTCCCGGATTACTTTATGTACTCGGACTGTTCGTTCAATAATTCAAAGCATTTGTCTATCTCCTCTTGCGTAGAGAAGACGACAAAGCAATCAACTTCATATGTTTAACGTTTTGTTTTCTGCCTTCTATAATTTTTATGGCAGGGTACTAAGCGAAATACAANCTTTGTCAGGTAACCGCTACTTGATAGGTTTATTTGAACATCCAAAAACGTAAGTCAGTTTTTTTCTAGGTTTCTCCCGGATAACTTTATGTACTCGGACTGTTCGTTCAATAATTCAAAGCATTTGTCTATCTCCTCTTGCGTAGAGAAGACGACAAAGCAATCAACTTCATATGTTTAACGTTTTGTTTTCTGCCTTCTATAATTTTTATGGCAGGTTACTAAGCGAAATACAACCACAACGTTGCTGAGATATTTGCAAACCTCTGGACCGCAGGTGTCTATGGTGGGGAACGAACGCGCTATTGTCCTTTCCGGGGAGTAACGCGTTCACCACCACACCATGCGGGTCCTTCGTTTCGCCTGTCTCTCAGCTATTTCTATCGATCTTTTTGCCACAGCAATCACCCGTCAGCGGGGTACATATCTGCAGTAGAGTAGTGGCCGAAGATCGAGAACAGGGGCTTCTATCTAAACTCTACAATGAATAGGAAGGATGAATGCCCGGAGGTAATACGCGACCTGATCCCGTATGTTCGCATCGATTTTTGATGTGGGATGGTGCAGTCGTCAACCATATGCGACTATAATCAGCTGTTCTAAACTTCCGCATTGGAAGTCACGCAAAAAGCGGTGAATGGTGCAGTCGTCAACCACATGCGACTATAATCAGCTGTTCTAAACTTCCTCATTGAAAGTCACGAAAAAGCGGTGGGTCTTTTTCGAGAAGCTGTTGATCATGTAATTACCATAGAGTTTTTCGTCTTTTTGTAAGTGTTATTGAAGCGTTTGGCCTAGCAGATTGTATATCAGCATATCCTTCCAGGCTCTGAAGAAGGCGATACTGCCGAAACGTCAGTTAGCGTTGTATTGTATTGTGTTTCTCTATGGAAGTAAATGTATGCTCTTTAAAAACCTCGCGATTGCTGAATAAGAAAACGACGCATTCATATTTCATCTTTTTGACGGAAAACCTAAGTCTTCTCTCCACTTACAGTATGTCTTTTGGCTGACACTACGTCCTGTTCTTTCTCAAGAGTCTCGAGGAGGTGTCATCATAGTGTACATTCATTGTTTACCAGCGCATCCTGCTCACTCGATAGACACGAATAGCATCCCATTTTTCCAGCAGGATTCCAGCAAATAGGTATAATCATCTCATCTCAGGTCTTCTTGTTGTGAGCTTGGCATGTTCCAAAACTCCGAGGCGTACGTCAAGAGGATGATTACGAGCAGAAAAGATGTGCACAAAGCCGTATATGCTTTCCATTCATCTCTTCGTCGCTACTTTTGTAAGTCCCTTCAGGCTGCTCGTTTCCTTCTGTTAAGCTGTACAGCCAGCTCTCAGCTGTCGTTCTTTCATCATGTTGACTTCTCGGCAAATAAACTTTGTGAGATTCACGTTCCGTCCTGTTGAGTATAGATGAGACGTCAGAGACGAATTTACTCGTCATTATTTTCGTCGTCTTTGTTTCAACTTTCATCGTTTGTTGAAGTTTGAAGACCAATTTTACCAGGTGCGCTGTTGTTGAAATCTGCGAGCATTTTTTCTCCTGGCTTAGGCTTAACGCAATAAGAATGACGTCGTCACCTAAAAGATTGTACACATTCTTAGAAACCTTAATGACCTGCATTGCTCAAACCATCTTCTAGTGGTTTGTCAATTTTGTTGAGGATATATAGCTCGACTGATGAACTTATAGGATGTAGCCGCCGATATCCATAGGGTTCCGATTTTGTGCAACACTGCCGTCCTGCTGGTTTGCAATTCATTTAGAAAACTCGTTGATTTTAGCTGATTTTGGGTTGTATTCTGATGAAGCGTGTGAAAATTCGATACAGTCTGTTAGTGAGGATTGGCAGCAAGTTTTTCAAATATTCACATGTCTCCAGACAGTTCAGTGCTGTATGGGCTGGTAGCTGTACGGTTCTTCACTAATGAGATGTTACGTCGGATTTGGTAATGTAGAATCGTATCAGTATAATATAATACAATACTTCCTTCGATAACTTGGGTGACCCATCCTCATTGACTGTACGGTTCTGCTGGCTTACCCATTGTGGTTCCTTGGAGTCAGAAGGTCAACCTGGCCAAAGTCTGCACCCAGGTCGTCACCACGACGGGTAGTAACCGCCCTTGCAAATCAGACGAAAATTTTCCACTATGCGACTAGTTCTATACCAGGACGGTGGTAGGTCCTGGTATTGATTTACTCTGAGTTGGACTTCCTGATGGAAGCGCAGGACTCCTTCTCAGCTTGGGAGACCGTGCCGGAGTATGAATCCCCCCCGCTCTACATCGCAGCCCGACACCCAGGAATACCTCCCAGCCACGATGAGGTGGTAAACTGTTGGAAGGAACCATATCAATAGTACCACTAATGCCAATAATGCAAAGAAGATGGACAAAGAGTTTGTCAGATCGGACTATTTTTTTCAAGAAGAATATCTGCTGCGAAAGACGATATGCCGCAACAGATAGATCGTAGAAGGGTATGTTGTAATGCATGGTTGCTGAAGACATGATCCTGTTGAGTGCTCTGAGACAAATGTCATTGTCCCTAATCTGATATATGCGCACGTTGATGTGGTTAAAGACGTTCTAGTGGGAAATGTAGACGACTCTCTCTATTGCTGTTCTAGAAGTAGTGATAGCTCAGTCCTGGCGCTGGAGGGCGACCACCTCGCTACTATATGACGAAGTCTCGATGGGTATTGTGGATGTTTTACCCACGATACACTATATCAAACGAACAGTCACGATGAAGTCAACGTGACTCAAACAGGATTCAAGCGGAATATAGAGAGTCGCTAATGTTGCTTTGAAGTTCGGAGCTCTTCCATATTTTTTAAAAACCACATCATACTCGGTGCAATACGTGCCCCTATTACTTACGGACCACAATACCATCCTGATTACATATTTAGAAGACGAAGCAACTTAACCATAACAGCAGCAAATATTAGAATCTAGGACGTTCAGACACTTCGAGGTATTTCAGCAGAATTCTCTTCAGCAACCAGCGAAATCTTCACAATTGCACACTTCTTCATCATATCATAATTATGCTTGTCCTATCTCAATGTATTTACAAAGGCAGGATATTAATCAAGCCCGTTTTTTTCTATCTTGCTGTTGAAATTGTATCTGAAGAGCTGCCTCTTTGACGTCAACATAGTCCAATTCTGCTCTCAAAAGAGTCGTGTCTTGACCTTTCGCTTCAGCCTGTAAATGCATGTTTAAAACACGATGGCTCAAATTGATAAGGATGAGATGAAAGAACAAGAAGGTTGCCGATGTACCTGTTTAATTTGCTCACGAAGCATCTTTCTTTGGAAATTTGCAGTCAAAACATGAGGAGGAGTGGTCCAGATCTCGTCCAAGTCTGATGGTTCCCTGTGAAAGACGACCATGAACGAGCTCTTAAAGCATAGAATCCGAAGAATATTAAATGACTTGCCTCAAGTACGCAAAGTAGGCTATGAACACAACAAGACTTCCGATCGCAGACAGCAACTTCTTGTTATTGAATTCATCAGTTGTGTAGTAATCGAATCTGTATGGTGTTTGTGCAACACCTGCACCACGTTTGCGACCCTGCATGGCTTCGAAACGAATTATGAAGGAAGATAAAATAGTGAAAGGCTTATTTACAATTCATATATAAGGCCAACTTAGATACTTGCCTGAAACGCAGCTGATTCACTAAATCGAGGCTCTGGAGACATCGTCGGTTTGGCTGAGATATGGCGTGTGGCAAGAAGAACGTTCCGCAAGCATAACCGTAATAACATTCTGCAAGAACATTGAAAGCTCGGCGTTGATCAATCCCTGAGAGATGCGCCATGCATTCAACTTCATTAAGCATCGTTGGGGTCAGTGAATGCGTATCTGGCCTATACAGTGTCTCGCGGTGGCCTGCCGATGTATCGCGCCAGTGCTGCTGTCCTCCCAGACAAATCTGTAATTTTCCGACCCCGGAGAGATGTAGGATTTGGTGGGGATGGAATGCGAGGATCTATCCCGTGTGTACCACATGGCGCCTTCGACCACAGCACTACATGGGCTCCCAGAAAGTAGAATTATAAATGCTGGTCCCGTATGATATTTCCAAAATTGCCTGCAAGAAAAGCGTCGGTTGGTTGGCGAAGTGGTTAAGCTTGGCAGACCTTTTGTACCAAGTCAAAACCGAGAATTTTTATTAGGACTTAGAAACAATGATTTCTTAGATCAGCTTCTAAATATACAACCTGCTATACAACTATACGACAGCTTCAGCCTAACTGGGTTCAATGCCTATTTGTGCTCTCCAGATTAATCCTGTTGACGGGTGATTGCTGATGGAACTGGTAGATAGAAAACTATCTGAGAGAATGGCGAAATAAAGGACGCGCATGGTGTAGTGGTGAACGCGTTGGCCCCGGA